ATTAAAAAAGTATATTTATATGCATTATATAATAATGATATAAATATTCGACTTGAAAATGAGCTAAATTGCCCCAAACGTTGTTGGGAAATTTAGATGATTTAAAGTATGGAACAAATGTATAAGGGTGAAATAAAACGTTTTTCCTTGATATTATAAATTTTATTATTCATGTAGTTCTCATGATTTTATATGCTGTTGATTACCTCCAAAATAAAAATACTTTCTTTAATCATAAACTGCACATCCCTTAGTATGTGACCTAATGTTTTAACATTTTTAACCTACCTTAGTACCTAATCTCAATCTATTCAGAATAACCCTGTGTGACTTTGAAAAAAAAGATGATGATTTTGGCCCCTCTTAACTTTAAATAGTCATTGAATTCTTAACAATATTCCTTCTCAAATTATCGTTATATTTTATAATTTTCGCTTACTTGTATTTTTAATCCATAACAAATATTAAAAACCAACTTAAATCTCCTGGACCACCTTTACTTTGGCTGAAATTGTTTGCAAATAAAATATTTTTCTTAATTTTTGTCTCTTAATTCAACACACACAAGAAAAAAAAGGAGTTGAGTCCCATTAAATATAAATCGGAGACATTAAAATAGCTAATAAATAGACCTCATGATAGTACAAATATACATAAAATTGAGAATTTCAACAAATTGAAACACATCACAAGATAAAGGTAAAAAATCATTATTAATATAAAATAATAGTAATACAAATAAAGATGTAAGTTTTTTTATACTTAGCAGTTTTTCAAAAAGAAACTATTTTACTTATTTAATTTAAATATTAATTAAAAATTTTACTTGTTTTGAAAAACTTTTAATTATTTACAAGTAATTTGTTTATGTACTTCGAAAATGTACTAAATTTTAAATACGAAAAAAAATTAAGGACTATACTAGGATTTAACTATTATTTAAAGGTGACTGTATACTTTTTAAAAATCAATTTTATATTTTTGTGTGGGATCCTTCAAGATTTTGTTTAGCAATATTATTTCCCTTGTTTAGAAATATTCATATCTTTGCAAGGCACCATAAACATATAATTTTTTTCTTCCGAATTTCATTCCATGCGATGCTGAGGTAGTTTTCTTTTTTTTATTATTTTTTCCCCAGCCAAGTCAGTTCCAATTGAAAACCCGAAGGAACGAACTAACAAGACTTTGTGAGCAAAGGCTTAGACGCCGGCTTTAATTTCCCATTATTTCGAATGCAGTAAACTCTTCTTTAGTGGAAATTACTGGAACGAGGTCTGTAATATTCTTTCCAGTTTCTGGAATAGCCTTATGGCCCCGAAATCATTACAAAAAAAAAAGGGGGAGGGGAAAGTTAGCATTTTACAATGAAACCTTATGGAATTACAAACCTTGGTTTAATGTAACGGAGTCAGCCAATGAAAATTAACTCAATAAAATAGAATGTGGTCGCTATGCTCATCAATTATAATACATTACCATTGTTTTTTCATCGTATATAAAAAACCTTATAGCATAAAATCTTATATTATGTGATATGCGATGAAGAAAAATGACCTTCTGTTGTCACAAGCCATTTTGATATCTTTAAGTAAAAAATAAATAATATTAAAATCATTTTTTTTTTGTTTATTTAATGAAATTTGCAACTGTATACAAATACAACTATTAAATATGCGCAAATATAAATAATGACATGTACAGGCTTGAAGAGATACTACCCAGTGGTAGCACTATCTAAATATTAAAATTATGAAATTGTTTATTGCTAACCGTTTATGTTTGAACAAAATATCTCTAATCCATCTTCACCGAAATTCAAGAATTAATTTTTCGTTCTCATGGCTGTCCTCTGAAGTCTTTTTGAACATTATACAAGACATGTCTACTGATCAGAATTATTAGATATGTGTATATATATATATATATATATATATATATATATATATATATATATATATATATATAATATATATATATATATATATATATGTATATATTATTGAAAGATGTTCGCGCGTTCATGTTCTTAAGGTGCTGGAAATTTTCTTCAGTTTGGTAATTATTGATTAGTTCCCAGTTTATTTATTATAAAGCGTTATATTCTTTTTCGAAATGTTTCTAAAACTTTAGATTAAGCGAACTTATTTTTCGATTGGTCATACAACGTTAATCAAAAATACGAAAATCTGAAAAAATCCGATTCAAATCAGAACTTTTTTTTCTTTGAATAAAAATTCACATTAGTAAAATCACCCACATGTTTTCTCTAATTTATAAGACATGGTCATTCTTCTTAACCTAGATTTTGTTAAAAATTTATTATTGAAAAAATTGTTTAGGATGGCAAGATATATAATTTTTTTTTTTTAATTTGTCCTATAATACTTTTCTTTGTTTGTTATTTTTGTCTCTTTTGATTTTTTGCATGATGTGGCATTTTAAACAAACAATGCCTGTCAGTTTTCCCTATTTTCCATAATAATAAAACTATAGAAATAATTTAATTGAATAGAGATGCAAGTATATATAGTGTTCATTTCTAAATCGTCTACAACGCTATGAGATTTATTTACCTTCTTAGTTTGTTGATGATTTGTTAAATAATTATTAACTTATATCATCTGTTTATTTATTTTAACTTTCATCTGTTGGTACTCTTCTTGTGATACTTTTCTTAAAAGCTTTTTTAAAACAGATCATATTATAACTTCTTGGCTGATCATATAATGAAATTTTTTTTTATAACTAGAACATTTATTTAATAACTTTTATAGTAAATAACGTCTCGAAAACATGACTTTTATAATATAATTTATCTATTAAAAAAAAAGTTGTCTTTGATTTTTTAAAGTTCTGAGGGTTAAACTTTTAAGTATTTTTTTGTATAAAAAAGGATTCTAATATTATTTCTCTCGTTGGATACTTTTATAAAAATAAGCATGTGAAAATATTACGAGATAATTTTACATAAATATTAATAACTACTTGAATAACTTCTACCGATTTTATATTGTCTACTTTATCAACTCCAGAATGTTTCTTTTGAAAATTCCTTTAGATCTTTAATTTTTCACCCAAAAATCCTAAATCCTTATCGAAATAATGAAATAAAAAATAGTTTGTTGTATGCACAGAGATATTTTTGTATTCATAACCTGGACTGAAATAGACGTCAGACAGATTAAATTAATTACGACGAGGAAAATCTTGCAGACGATCATTGACCGTAACGATCTGGGGTCACCACACAACACTCTGTCACCCTGTTACCCTCACATTAAATTGTATTAATACAAATAAGGTGATTATACAAGTGTATATACATATATATATTTAAAAATAACATAAATTTCTTAATAATTAATTTTTTTATAAGTAAAATTAACCGACTTCTGTCAAAAGTCCTAATATCGACTTATATCACAAATACTAATATAATATTTTTAAAAAGCCCCCTATAGAGTCCGATGAAGTAATCATTATAAGCATTATAAGAATTATACTTAACAATGATTTATATCAAACATTGGTGTGATGGCACGTTCAAATAAGTCAGGTATATAAGCCTACAATTATTTTTCGAAATTTTAAGATTTATTTGTTGTTATCGTAGGCATGTTAAGAATGTATCCTGATTATTGAAATTCTTTTATAAGACTCCTTTACAAAATTTACTTTCACTGCATATCATCTGAAACAGTATTAATTATATATATATATATATTATATATACATATGTATTACATTGTGTATTTAGACAATTTAAGGATTTATTGGTAAAGAATATGTATATGTTGTTTATGGTAATGTTTGTTCCTTAGTTAATATATATATATATATATATATATATATACTATAAACTTATATTAATATTAACTAAGAAACAAACATTATCTTGAACAATGCATACGTACACATCCTTTACCAATAAATTCACAATGTAATGGCAATAAGTATTAACGACTGCAAATGCCAATTTTATAACCCTGCAATAAAAGCAATTATGTTGCTAATTATCAGTTGAATCGGACAGGCGTTTTGCTTTTCTTTGACTGTTGCACAAATGATTTACTTTAAAATACATATAATTTTAAAATAGATCAATTTTGATTTTAATTTATGAAAATTATAATCGTATTAATCATACTGTATATAGGTATGTATGTGTTCTTTTATATATTTATTTTTATTTATTGTATACATATTATTTTTCTGTATAATTTATTTTATTTATTGTACATAGAGTGTGAATGTGATCTCTGAACATGATTATAAATGTCCTTGAGACAGATTGTAATATTTATCAATAAATAAATTATTAAAAAAAAATTAATCGTACATTCATTATTAACATCGTTACTCACAATTTCAATTTTACTCACCATTTCTAAATTAATTTGTAGAATAAATGGAGTTTTATGGTGGTATTCTCCTTGTAATTTTACAAAAAGGAATATACTGATATTCTAGACTAATGTTGTTCTAATAATTTTATCTATTTTTTTAAATTATTATTGTTTTTGTAACTCTTTCTGAGAACTTGGACCATTCCCTGAAATACGTCGTTTCCGTGTATTTTTTTTAAATCTAAATTTGTTTAAAAAGTCCGATATGCGGCATATTTGGAATGGATTTTTTTTAGATAATTAAATTTCTTTTCAATAGGTTCAATAAAGTGTATATTTTTTGTACTATAGAAAAAATTGAGTAATCACTAATATCAAAAAATGCGATTTAGGCGTATTTTTCTAAACATTTTTTACTCAAATATTTTTTTTGGTAAACATATCTGTCCAAATGTGATTGACATAATCTGGATAATACTGGATAATGGTTTATTTTTTATTTCGTAAGTACGAAATATTTGATTTTTTTTTTATTTGTATGAGCCCCAAACGAATATAGCATTAAAGTGATAAACACGATTCCTAGCCCAGATACAGAAAGGAGGTAGGAAATATTATAAGGAGTGAAATAAAGTGAAAAGGGGAAAGTGGATGGTGGATGGATATTGGGCGCCATCTGGGAGCTGTCATAATAACAAGAAGCCACCGACCTTTTGTCTGACGTCGGGTTATCCCTTTGGGATCTGCCAAAGGCCGCAATCCCTTCCCTATCCACCTTTGATTCTATTCTTAAGGGATTCGCCGACCGCCTCTACCGCCTACGTAACCGCCCTTCCGGTAGTTATTGAAATCCCTAAATATTCGTAGGAAGGATCAGAACTTTAAATTAGTATGGAATTATATTTTAAGTTGTTTGGAGTTAGGAAACGTACCTAAGATGAACAAAAATTGACTAATAGTTGTTCAATATAACCTCCCTTAGATGTGTTTATTGAATCTCCTATTTCCTTTAGTATATATGGCTTCGTGAGATGTCAACTGTAATATTTTTTACTTTCATTTACGTATATATGTAACATATAGTAATGATATTACTTTCACTTATGTATATATGTAATATATAGTAAGGGTAAGTATTGCGATCGTGAAAATTTTTGAATCTGAGTTTTCAACGGAAATACACGTTTTAGGATACCCTGAGTCCAAATAACCCTAAGTCCCGAAAAATGGTCTGTGTGTTTGTATGTTAGCAGTCTAGCTCAAAAACGAAAAATCGTACGAAAATGATATTACGTGTTTAGGGTTGGTATATACCTTAGATGTGACAGAAACTCTTTCCTTAAAATCGGCTAACAGGAAGTGGCACTTTATGTCAACGCTGAAACACATTTTTACAATTTTCTCAAAAACTTTAATATCATTTAGGTCTTATCCCCGTTGATGTAAGTTTACAGTAGAAAACTACCAAATCGATTTAAATGTCTTTTTTCTTTTTAGAAAATTTCTTCACCGTTTAAAATAACACACTGATCATATTAAAGGTTACTAAAGGATGAGCTTCGGAACTCTACATTGCCATCAAAACTTATATTTTAGAGTAGCGTTCGAAAAACCTCTTTCGCTAAAGGCTTTGGTACCGAATAGCTATAACGAATGAAACTTGCCTAAAGTATTCTCCTTGTACACTTAAAAATGTACGTATGCCTATAAGATACTTTCCTTAAAAAACGTTACGATGAATATACAATTTTATTTGCAAATACTTAACAATTATACACTTTATACATACAGATTTTCGGATATATCCTGTTTGAAGGTTTGGCAAATATTTCTTGGATCTTTATTATACAGCCATAATAGAAACGGCATCCTCCATTTTCATATTATTATTATTATCTTAAACAACTAATTTGTATGTTCTCCAGGTGCTGTACAACCTGCTCGGGGAGAGCTTGGGAAGGGAGGGCCGCCACGAAGAAGCTGAGCGATGGTTCAAGGCAGCACTCTCTGCTAAACCTGATCATGTTCCAGCTCACCTCACCTACGGCAAACTCCTAGCGAAGAATGTAAGTAGTATTCCGAATTAATAATATAGTATATAATTATTTATTTTTGACTCCTACAATGGCATTACAATCTTCAAAATACTCCCTCTCTTCTACTGACTTTCCAAAAACAATACCTACTGTCACCTTCAACCACTTCCAATTTAGTAGTATTACTAAATAATTACTAGTATATCAACTTGATAAGGAAAATATTCATGCAAGTGTGACTTAGAGTTAATATGTCAATACTATTGGTAATAATCTCACTTATATCCTATTCAAGTTTCTTAATAACCACGCCAGAGACCATACTTCCATATATACTTCCATAATGGTTATAGAAACGTAATATCATTATATACTAAATATATCATTAACTTCCTGTGTTTTAGAGTTTGTAGTTGATATACATAAAAACTTAGAGTGAAGATTAGAGATTTAAAAAAATATATATAACGCTTCAAACAGTGTCACACTTTTTGTCTTTTTAGTGCATGTCACCATATTCATCTTGTTATTTAGTTCAGTTTAATATAAATCATCTCGACTGAAGTAGTAGAGAGTACTTTTGAAATTTAATGTGATATATCTTTTACCGCTTGAATATTTCAATCATTTTGTTAATAATCAATTATTTGAGAGCATTTTTATACAATTCAGATGATTTCCACATAAATTGAGTAAGCGATAAATGTGCTAAAATAAAATAAATGAGACTCATTCAAGAGTTACGGAATAGACTTATTCCGTAACAAATAATAATAATATTAATTCAACCTATATTTCAATAATTGAGTTTATCAACTGTGCCAATTGGGAATCATGTATTGAGAAATCCCGAAGCCCAAAGGGCAAATCTAGGATAGCTAGGACAAGCTATCTCTGATAACTTAGAAATAGTTATCTAAAAGGCACCTGACACAAGACCTACAGGGCACAAGAGTTAAGGACAATGGCATATTTCGGCAACAGTCTCTTTCTCACAGACCTCACATTAAGAATATCAATTATTGATAACTTCCTTTGAAGCCATCTTTCTTCATTCCTCTAACTATTCCTTGTTTTATTACCTCATGGTCCGTCTAGGCATTCTTAAAGTCATACACTTGTCAAAAGACCTACATCCATGATCTTGTTTTCATCTTGTAGGAGACATGGAGTGAAATCTTGTAGTCAACTCATATACTTATAGTATAATGATGTATGCTGTATGGTAGATAACATTTGTAACAGACATTATAAATAAAAGGGCTACTTATGAAGTCCTCACTGCCTTAGATTTCTTAACTAAGGATAACGGTTTAAAAAGTCTGTGTACCTACTGAAAGATTAGTAAATAATTAATACTAGTGGGCGGGGTGGCCGAATCGGCTAAGGCAAATGATATAAAAATAGCCACGAGTTCGCGTCCCGGTGCCCGAGGGGGTCTTTTAAATCCCCACCCACACCCCCTGGCCCGGGAAAACCCCGTATAGCCTTAACGGCGAGGAAGGGGAGGACCCAAAAGAATAAAAAAATAATTAATACTATTTAAATTACACATCATAGTTCAGGCTTGTTCAAATGTATGGGCTGGTTTCACATAAAAATAAAATAAAATTTAGTTGTCCTGTTGGTTGGTATATTATTTATTTCTTTGAAGAGCTAAATTTTAAAGAAACGTTTTCATATCGGTTCATTTGCTAGAATATAATTAAAAGTTGAATACAAGAATGTGAATGTCGAGTAAAATACATTGAGTGGTGAATTTAAATAATTTGCGTCGTACATATATGTAATTTTAATTTTGTAACGCTTCTTATTTTCGTCTTGACATATATGTACAGCACAATTTAACTTTATTTGCTCACAACTCCAACATAAATATTTAAAATATACGGTAAAATTATTGCAGTATTTACTTAGCCCGGGCCTTGACGCTGGCGTTAGTGCCATCACTCCTTTGTGTGCCCTCTCCTCTTTTATATTATTTCCCATGGGAGACATTCTGCAGAGCAGCAGCTAATATTTCCCAGTAATTGCACCCCGTCTTCTCTGTACACTCATTAAAAGTTCAGAACCTCAAGGGAAAACGGAAGGGAACAAATAATTTTTATACTGTCAATTTGCTTTAACAAATCAATTTTTTTTTTATCCCAGCCAATGAATGCGTTATTAATTATTAAAAGCGATTAGTCATGGTTTTTCATTCGTCAATTTATCGTTTAGGTGCACCCATATAATTTATCTTCATCAATTTTTAATAAGGCAATTTTCCTTCATTATATCATGGACTGATTTCAATTATTTATTAATCATTAATTAGTTGTTACGAATTAATTATATTTTGTGATTTTAAATCCTAATGATGCTTAAATTAGCAAAAAGTTGACCTTCTATTTATTGATTGAAAGCCTTGTATGATGAAATGAAACCATAAAATACAATTACAATTTAATTTTAATATTTTTAACAATATATTTCTATTCGATATATATGTAAATTAACTTTAGGTTCTAACGAATTCCCACCTTTGGCTTAATTATTTAATTCATGCATTTAACACATGATGTTGGATGGGGATAACCGTGTGGTGCGGTTTGCAATTGTTTCAGGTATTAAATATTTAGAGTCGTGTTTCATTGTAGTTAACAACTATAAAAACTTTTTTTTTGTCTATAAAAGATGTATTTGCGCCTCTCAACTTATTGTTTACAATCAACCAACACCTTTGATGGTTCTTTTTAAAAAGAATGAATTTCGAGCTACATTGTTTTCCAGGAATAGGACTAATGCCTGATAATTTTGAACGTCGTGTATGTGTATTGGTGGTGGTTTGTCGTTTGTTTGTGCATTTGTATTATTTACTGCGGATTCTTCATTTTCTGTAATTTCAGTAAGTATATCGTAAGAATTACTTACAGATATTGGAGTTACATTTTCCGTTTCAGTTTTCTTGTGTTTTCCTGGATCCCTGGATTCAGTAGAAATATTTATTTATTTTTTTCCGTTACCAAAGCCCAGGCATCACCACAATTTGCTTCAATTAACTCCATTCTTTCCTCCCTTACCTCAACATTTGACGTCCATTTTTTCGGTGAATATCACCTTCAACCAATTATGTTCACTCGAACACAGACTTCCTTCAACTTCGCAAAAGAAAATTTTACGTTTTTTACTTGAAAATTCAAATAACCTTTTTAATTAAAATTACTTGTGTTTATAGGTTTCTGGCACCATGTTTCTCCTATCGCCCGGGTGCCTCTGCCCCTTATTTGAGAACCCCTCCTTTTCTAAGACAAACTAAATTAATAAAATGGCATTTGAAAGTTTCAATAATGTTAAATAGATTCAAAAAATAAAAACATTTTCTTTGAAAATAATTACTTCACATTGCAGTAATTTATTATTATAATTGTTTTCTTTCTTATTACTTTCAAATATTCATCGGTTCCTGTTGACAATCAACAGATGGTCTGATAAAAATATTGAAACTGAAATGTCAGGCATGGAAAACAATATCACCCAGCCGTACTAATGATAATTTAAGTATGTGAATTCAAAATAACAACTTGAAAACCAAAAGAATAAGTAGTACCTCTTAAAGATAATATACATTATATGTTTTGTATTTACTCCATTATTTATTTGAAACCAACATATTAATAATATTTGCCAACTGCATCCCCACGACTGGTAGCTCTATGTAATCCGCATGTCGAAGGAAAGGGCGTGAGACAGAAATCCGAAATGGGATAGCCTGGTTCGAAGTTAATGTTCCTTCGTCACTTGAGGTGAGCAAGCTGTCTATGCCTGTCGGAGGATCGCATAGCTCCCTCATTGCGATATGCACTTGACGCCTGTCCCAGAAGTGATATGCCTCTCAATTGCAGTTCCCAGTAACAAGGTCGGGTTCTCTCCCGAGTCTAGTTGGAACAGGACTATTGGCACTTCTCAAGGGGGTAATCCATTAATTGATGTGTTCTGCTAAATGGATCCCTTGCGTTTGGGCAATGCTGCATTAGGGAAACATCTTAAATAAATTATTCGCATGATTTAAAAACTTTGACATATATTGTGAACCTATCGTTTTTCGAAGAATGTGATGAACATAAATGCTTTCATTTTCATTGTAAAATTGGAACAGTATACTTAAAGACCTCGTGTACATGCCAACAGTTAACAACCACATACGGAGATACAGCAGGAGATTTTACGATAACTTACACGGATATGTTAACACTCACATATAACGTTTGAATGAATATGGTCAAGATGTCCAATAACACGCTTAGGAGGCTCAAAAGAAGCTGGGTGAGGGTTATCCTCGCTTAAAAATGTGTAATTAAATGAAGATGGGAAATCGCTATGCTCTCCTTCACCCCAATCCGACTACTATAATTCTTGTGATAGGTGTGGTTAAGGAAATAAATTAAAAAAAAAAAATTGTTTTTTCGTGATTTCGTAGGACGAATAAGTTATTTTCTGTACATTCTGCGTCGGATCTAAATAAAAAAATCTTTCAAACCTATAGTTACAAGTTGAAATAAAATAAATATACTTTTAATTAATTATTCGTAACGTATGTTAACTTGGTAGTGATCAGCGGTTGCAAAACATTATGTAAGGCATTAGAACCTTTCATATATTAGAATTAATAATCATAGGAGGATGATAATTAACTATGATTATGCAAATCAGTTTATTGTTCAATATTTTTTTTTCATTTTAAAAATGTATGAAAATATATATCGGATCTTAAAATAAATTGAATTATTTTATAAACGCTGATGGTATCTATTATGCTACATCATCTATTATCATACTCATGTTGCCCAAAAGCTATGAAGGATGTAAATTAAGAAATCAATATGCAACGAAATCAGCAGGGTCAAAAATTATACAAATAGCTCATTTTCTCATTGTAGACCCGTGCAAATTAATGTTTAAAGAAAAAAAAACTATAGGTTTATGTTACTGCTACATGCGATATTACAACTATGCGAATTTCTCATGAAAAGAGCTGGGGATGTTTTTGATCACCACCATCTGGTCCGCTC